GCTCTTCTAGGTGCCTGGGTACCCAGTTCTGAACAAGACAAGAAAGGACTCTGTCCTCATAATAAAGCTTACTTTCCAGGGAAGAGGGCTGTTTTAATCACTTTCTGCCACGGATACAAAATACCCAACATCTGCAACTTAAAAGAGGAGACGTTTGTTTTGGCTCCAGGTTTCAGTCCACAGCAACTGGCTCAAAGCTCTGCCAGGAACAGATTGGCAGAGGAGCGTGGCCGAAGAAAAGGGTGCTCAATCCACAGCAGCCAGGAAACAGCAAAGAGAAAGAAGGAGCCAGGAACACAAATCCACTGCTCCAGGTCACACCCTAGCAACTCACCTCAAACCAGGCCCCACCCCGGACAGATGTTTAGCTACTGAACTCATCCATGGGTGACCTCACGGAGGAGTACAGCACACCCGACCCAATCACCTTCCACACACGTGAAACTTTGGGGGGACACTTTAGATCAAAATTATAATATTCTGCCCCTGGTTCCCAAAAGACTCATTTTCATGTTGTTATGAAAAATACATCCAGTCCCTCTAAAGGTTCCTAAAGCCTTAACAGTCCAACAGTGCTAAGAAGTCCAAGTCCAAAGTCTTCACTGAGATTTAAGCCAAGCTCTTAGCATAAGCCTCTGTAAAAATAAAAATAAAAGTTTCAAACATTTCCAACATACAATAGCACAGAGTAAATCTTCCCATTTCAAGAGACAAAAGTAGGGGGATAAAAAGGAATCAAACCAAAGTGAAACCAAACCCCAGCAGGGCAAACATGAAACCCTGTAGTCCCATGTCCATCTCTTGGGTCAGGCTGTGGTGGGATTTGAGCTCCAAAAGGCTTGGGCAGCCCCATGCCCATGGCATTGCCAGCTGCAGCCCTGATAGCCTCTATTTTAGCATGGCTGTACTCACTCCCTACGGCTTTCCTCAGCACATTCCACATTCCTGGCTTCTCCAACTTCCCAGAGTCTCTACTACAGTTTTGACTTCACTCTCACAGCTTTGAGTACTGCCCACTCAGGGCACACTGCCCAACCTTCCAAGCCTCTTCTGAAATCTAGGTGGAAGCCTCCATGACCCTGTGACTCTTGCATTCTGTATGCCTATCAAACCAGCACCACACGAATGATGCCAGGGTCTGCCACCAGTTCTCTTCGAAGTTTTGCACCCTTGAGCCTGCAGAGGATGGACCCTTGCTTACTCCTGAGATGCTGTCAACTCATCTTTCCTATTAACCTGATACAACATACTTGGTTTCAGCAGCCATGTTCTCATGGGCTCTTCCTTTCTGGTGAAACTGCAAACTTTTCACATCTAGCTTTACTCCTAATTTTCACTATAGATCTGGCTAAAAGCAGCTATCAGTACCCATACCACAGCCTGAATCTGGGATGTCTTGAAATGTCCTCCATCAAATTAATTAATTCACTGCTCTTAATCTTAGTCTCCTACAAAGTCTCAGAACATGGGTAAAATGAAGACAAATTTTCTGGTGTGGCCCCTAGTCTAATTGTCAATGGAGTCCTTGTCCCCAGCTGGAAACTCCTGCACCTGGCCTTTACTGTCTGCATTCTTATCAGCATTCTGGTCCTCTGAGCTCCAGCCAGAATATCCCATCAAGCTCAGCTTACACCATTCTACGACTTCTCTGGCTAGCATCTCCAAACCTTTCCAAACTCTTCCCACAAACCAACTCCAAAGGATTCTGAGCCACGTGCTCAGGCATAATCACAGCAATGATCCCACTTCTCTGGCACTAATTTTTGTCTAAGTCACTCTTTGTTGCTGATACAAAATACTCAACACCTGCAACTTAAAGAAGGCAAGGTTCATTTGGGGTCATAGTTTCATTCCATGGTCCACTAGTGCCAAGGCAGAAACAGACTAGCAGAGGGGCATGACAGAAATAAGGTGCTCAGCCCACGGCAGCCAGGAAGCAACAGAGAGAAAAGAGGAGCTGGGGACACTCTTCCGGCTCACACCCTCAGTGATGTATCTCAAACCAGGCCCCACCTCCTAAAAGACGTCCAGCTCTGAACTCATCAATGGATGGACAAATCCGCTGTTAAGTATAGCTCCCCCATGGTCCATCCTCTTTCCACATACACAAAACTTCTGGGGGACAATCTAGAACTAAACCATAATAGGAGAAAAAAGCAGATAATAAATAAGTGAAGCTCGAAAGCACAAGGTCCTGAGTACCAAAAATAAATAAATAAGTGAAGAGATAAATGAGGAAATAATTGTAGACAGTCAATAATAAAACAGGATCATAAACCAGTGAAAGAGAACAAGTGGGATCCAGGAGCTTGGAGGGTTACAAATGGTTGTCTGAAAATAAGATTATTTGAGCTGAGACCAGAATACTGACAGTAACTGGACCTGAGATCTGCAGGAGAAGAGGAAGAAAGGAAAGCTTCCCAAGCACAGGCAACAGCTGATGCAAATGTACTGGGCAGAATGGCACTAGAATTTTCGAAGAAACACAAAGGCCAGTGTGCCCAGAGCAACGTGAGCAAGAGGGAGAGTGGTATATGATACTCAGAAGATGAGGGTTCAGAGAAATCTAACAGGGGTCCTGTAGGCCACAGAAAGTAGTTTGAGCTTCATTCCATGGGAAAAGGAAACACTGGAGAGTTAGAATCCTAATTATAGAGCTGTGTTTAACTGGCCTAAAGAGTGGATGTGTGGAATAACTTACCGACTCAGAAGCTGAGAACCTCTGCCAAGTTTATCTCGATTCATATAATGGAAGATTGCACTGCACTGTTCCAGGAGACCTGGAACTCATACAAGACTCAGCTCTTCCATCACTGCAGCACTTGTAACACAGAAAGGAGAAAGCTAATGTAAGCAAATAGCAACTACCAGAGTCCAAAGGAAGAACCCAAGTCCACCAGTTCTGTATTATTCTTGGTAGTGGTAACCTGCATTTTAGTATCTCAGAATCTACAAAGAAACTACATTATCTCACTCAGTCTTTACATCCTCTCGTGAAGAGGGCTAAGAAGGTATTATCCCCATCTTACAGATTCAAGGTCACACAATCACAAATAAAATGTGGAACCTCTGATGGTAGTCCCTTGTTCCCTCAGTAAATCACAACTACCTAACCAAATCCTGCACAAACTACTCCCAAAACACACAGAAAAATTACAGAACACATGGAAAAATGCTTTGCAATTCATCAGAGACGACACATAAAATACCTTCCACCCATCTGTTTGAGGTTCCTGGTAGGGTTATGGTGTTTGGTGATTGGGGGATGAACGTGTCCTGCAGAACAAGACGTGGTAAACATTACCCACCTGACTTTATGAGGTCGATGACATCAACACACATGAAAAAGAGACTTCCACGTCACTTTAGTAGCATAAATTTCAACTAAAAACTGCAATTTAAACTTCAAAGGCAGCCTCTTAACTCATCCAGAAAAATTTTTTATGGGTTGTCTTACAATTCATAAGAAACTTGGGAGATAGCCATCAACAAAGACTGTTGGCAATAACTCTCTCTCTCTCTCTCTCTCTCTCTCTCTCTCTGTATGTGTGTGTGTCTCTCATTCTCTGGGCTCTCTCTTTTATTTTACACTTTCTTCAACAGATAGAACAATATGAGTAATAAGCCTAGAATTAGCAGTATAATGGGTCTGTAGGAAACAAATCTATCCTCTAATTAGCATATAATTGAATATTATATTTTATATATATTATATATTATAGGAAAATACAAGAAGACACACAGTAAATAGTTTTTAATTAAATCAGCAGAGCCTCTATCATATTTATAATAACCTCTTTCTGGAGAGCTCTTAGATGACTTCTGAGACAAACCCGAAACCAATGTTTGTCTCTCATGGAATGGATATTTAGTAGCTGTATCTTGCCAATGACAGTTTTTGAAATGTTGAGCATACAAACAAACTCATCACACACCAAATATATTTAAGCAACTACTTAGTGATAATATGTTTTGAGGAATTTTATGGATATATGTTCATCATGTTTTTCATTTTTGGCTTTTTTTTTTTGTATCAGGGATTGAACTCGGGACCTTGCACTTGCAAGGCAGGCAGTAGAACCACTGAGTTAAATCCCCAGCCATCATGTATTTTAAAAGCAATATATTTTAAAATACTTTCACATTATACAACAGATCACTTGATTCATAAACTGATAACCTAATATAAAAATTCCAGTCCATGAATCATTGAGTCACTTTCATAATATATTCTTAAAGGGGAGAAACTCAAAACTACAAAAGTGTTTCTGGATTTCTATATAGCAAATTTTGCTTCCCTGGTGGTACTTAACCAGTCCCAGTAGGATTCACAAGATGATATGCCCTCACATTTTTAAATCATGTCCAGAAAAAGCATTTTGTTTGTGTGATCCCTGCAGACTACTTGCTTTTGACATGATTCAACTTGTTTTGTTTTCTAGTGTTGAAAGAAGTGGAAAAATTGATCGATTTAATAAACATTTCTGAAAAACATTAACATGTAACAAGTGAAAAGGGACATGCTTCTAAAAGTTGAGAAGAAACAAAGCCAGCTGTTGAGGAGAAGGAGTCTACTGAAAAAAATGAACACAGTTTTAATTTCAAGCATTGCCTCAAAGACAATTAATGAACAATACAGACTACTTTAGAAAATAGCTGTCCAGTAACAGCACTGATTTGAAGAAAATAAGTTTCTGCAAAAGAGAATATTGAAAGAGTAACCTACCATAGTAGTAATAATGTAGAGACCTGATGTATGAAGTGCCATGTACACACTGCAAATTGGACTCTACAGGCAATGGTTGACCTCCAGCAGCAACCACACCAAGGGTCCATGAGACAAAGAATAGATCTCTCAGCTGAGTGCATCTGTGTTCCCCAGACCTGCCAGTAACTTAAGAGAGCTGAGGACTCCCATTTCTCAACTCCAAAATGCAGGAGACAACACTGGATGATTTCTGAAGAATTTTATTAATTATTTTATAGTATCATAGGAAAAATACACACAGGAGAAGTTGTTATTAGGACAAAATAATGATGCACCAATGACCGCAGATAACGATTTGGAGAACTTTGTTGAAAGTTGGTAAATTCCCCAGTCTCTACCAGTACTGGATAGCAGCACGTAATACCTCAGCTCAGAACAAGTCTTAACAAAATTATTAACATTTGAGCCCCTATTTGTTTCTAGTCATGATTATTTTGTCACCAGAAAATTTGTTCCCCATCTCTCGAGTATCTAAAAATATTCTCCAGCACTGCCTCCCTGAGATGTGGCAAAGGTCCCACTCACCAGCAGGGAGGTGCTGGCTCTTCCCACACGTTATCTCTCTAACAATCCTGCATGGTGTCCTTACCTTGTAGTGTGGGTGAAGAAGCTGAGACTGGAAAATTCACCCTGCTCAGAGCTGAGATTTAAGCCCAATTCCAAAGATGATACATTTTCCATATGGTTATTAAACACCATCACAAAAACTGGAAAACATGTGTCTGTCTGCCCTACTGGATTGGAAGATCATCAAGGACAGGGTAATGTAGGACTCATTCACATCTTGCAAACCTAGCCTTCTGCTTGGCAAGGAGTAGTGTGTCATAAATGTAGAAGACATGACTTGAAACATTTAAGTAAATTATTGGAGATGAAAATAATATTGACAAAGTTCTAGCCATGACATCCATTTGATTCCTACACTTTCCTCTTATTATTATTGTTTATTAATCTGTGAATCAAAGAAAACATTGGTTAACATCGTGATAAGTCAGGTCACATGACCCCTGCATACTTCCTGGGCATAGTTTCAGAAAAACTGAGCAAACACAGATACAGAATCTGGGTTTGATGACCTGCCTCAAGATGCAGGAGTCCTGCCCCTGGGAAATCAGAGAGAATGCTTGATGCCATTATTGGTGCCTGCTGGTTGATTGGTTTGCTTTATTTTTCACACTGTGGTGTAAGCAACTCAAAGTTCCAGAAATCACTATTCCAATTTCTCCCTATCCTCATTTCCACTCCCACCCCAAGACTGGAGGGAAACAGCTCTTTGGCTGGCTCCCAAATCTCACGCCCACTGGGACACATTAGCAATTCTCAGCGGGGCAACAGTAGTGAATCTGGCTGATGATAGCTGTGCTGAGCAGTCCGCTGACCTACCTGCTATGAGCTCATCCCCAACCATCATGATTTTAGCAGATGTTCAGACTTCCCAGAGTTGTTTCCTTCTTCTCCAGCCTCCAAGGCCAACCAGAGCCCCGTGGAGATCTGTGGAGCACCGTGGCACACAAAGGACATGGAGAACCAGGAGCGCAGCACCCTGGGGACCTGCTACTGTTCTGCCTCCTCACTCCCAGTGTCACACCACTGAGGCTGCCGATGACCCTGTGTGGGGATGTGGTGCGCAGCTGTGGGAGCTGTCTGTGGAGGAAGAGAGAAGAGAGAAAGGAAGATTTATGCTGAGATCAAACTTTGCCTTCATACATGAAGGGGAAAATTTCATTACAGCAGATGGATCCTCATGATTCTGAAAGAGCGAAATGGACAGCTTCTCTTTATTCACAGGAAAAGCAATATTTAAGGAGCTAGTGTCAAAACAATTGCTAATGTGTCCCTGAAACAATACTTTCCTCCTCCAGAAATAAGAGGATAACACATACATCCTGAGGAGCAGACCCTGAATGCCTCATGGGAATTAAGGTACAGTGTTGTTATGGCTGTGTCCAGATGTCCCCCCAAAAACCACGTGCAGTCATAGGTGGGGCTTTTCCAAGGGTGGCTGGATCTAAAGTGTGTGATGCTGGGATGGATTCATGGTGCAATGCAGGCTCAAGGGCACCAGGATTAAGGGTGTGAGTGCTGCCCGGCCTAAGTAGCCCAGATAAGACATAAGGGGCAGAAAGAGCTTTGGTCGTTCCTTGTTGCTTTGCTACCTTCTGCCTGCCATAAACTGTTCCTCCTCTGCATTGCCCCTCTGTCGTGCCACCCTGCCTTGGAGCCAGTTGATTATGCACTGAAACCTCTACAAACTGTGAGCTAAATAAACCTTTCTTCCCTTACAATTTGTGGGTGTTGGGTTTGTATCTCAGCAATGAGAAAAGTAACTAAGACAAGTGTGTCAAGCTTTGGTGACTGTGCATTACAGCCTGTAAACACTTTGCCAAGATGGGCTGACATCAGTTAATCATGTCATGATAATTTCATACTATTGCCAAATACAATTTGCCAAATGTGTGTGCGTATACAAACATATGGCATATGTGCATATATACACATACTCATTTTCAATTAAATCTAGAAATTAAAAAACTAGTTCTACATTCAAATACCAATTCCTCTTCATCTATTTCATTATTTTCTAGGTACTTTGCTCTGACACAATGAAGAAAAAAGTCCTTTTTCCTAGATTTGATTTAAAGAATATTTTCAAATACACATTATCAGGATTTTCAAACTAAAAAGGAATCAAACACTATTGCAATGTGTTACTTCGAGATTATATAACTGTGAAAAATGTATAATATCTAGCTAAATAGTTTTTCTAGATAACATAAATGAGATACAAATCAACGGCCTATGTCCAGCCAGGCACACATTTAATAATGCAAGATACTCTTCCTCAACAAAAATATTTAGGTAGTATCTTGCTATGAAGTTATATCTCTAATGACTCCCAGTCTTGGTTTTGTGATATCCTGGTGAGTTTCCAAATGTTTAAAATGTGTTACAAATTTTTCAAATAAAATATGAAATTGTACTTGGAAACCCATCGCTGCTTTGCAGTGTTTGGGGGGAAAGTTTTACAAAGTCAGAAAAGTCCTAAAGGGTTAGAAATACTGGTCTAAAAACTCAGGGCTTGTACACTTTAAGTCTCCACAATTAAAATAATAATGCAAAGAAAAAATCTGTCAGGATTATTGCTAAGGCCAAACAAAAGCTTATTATTTTAGGTTAAAAATACTTTCAATTTTGAACATTTCTCCTAGCCCATTCGCCATCTTTCTTTAAGTAGAACAATTTCCTTTGAAGTGGAAGTAGTTGCACCTTCATGTCTATTTGAAAATGCAATCAGATAGAAATAGAATACAGTACAGCCGGAAAATAGCAATCCATTCTTCCTCTTCCTAGGCCAGGTCGCACTGTGCAGCACACGCAAGGGAAGCGTGACACAGAAGTTAAGCCATAACTCCTGTGGGATGGAAGGCTCTGGCACTGAAGGTACAAGCAAGGCCCAGTGTCAAAAGGCCTCACATTCACGTCTCTGTTTCACTTAAAAACCCTCAGCCCTTATTAACAAATAGCCCCTCTCTTAGAAAAAAAAATAGTGCTTTACCGACCAGATAAACAAAAGACACTGTCATTTTTAAACCAAAACATATTTAGGGGAAAAATGTAAGTGAAACTAATTTGCTACATATGTTTTATACATATAGTACATAAGGGGGTTTCTCCGACGCCATATGGAAAGCATCTGAACTTGTAAGACAATGACCTTCATAAATCACTCTAGGCTCCAACTCCAAATTATGTCTTGTTCCTCCACTCATGGGATAGTCACTATATCTCATATAAATTCATTATGTTATATGTGCACAATAATCTATCTCTACCGTTATAAGGAATGATGTCATAACACACAGGCGAGGTTTTCCAAAAAAGGGAACAAGCTGTCCCACCAGATGGGCCAACCTGTAGCACAGCCTCTCCAAACACAATGTGCTCCACCCGGCAGCCATCCATGCTGCTCTACAAAAAGCAAATTAACAGAGGAAGAAATGAGCAATTTAAGAACAAAATGGTTTCTGGACCTTCTTAATTCCAAAGTAAATTAAAATATAATAACCTTACCTCTCTTTACATACTTTCCCTGTATCTATTTTTCATTTATACCCACTAAAAAGGGCTCTAGTTACTTTTACCTGTATCAAATCACCAGCCATGGTGCTACCACGGGTTTCTTTTGACAAATGTGCTTCCATGAAAAAGGTTTCAATTAAAGAAGCCGCGAAATTTGCTACTGGTAATGAAGGAAAAGGAAATATGCGGTGGATATATCCTACCTCCAATCTCTTTTCAACCAGAAGTTGCTTCCTACCAGCTTCTTTCCTGCTCCAGTCTTTCTCTGACTCTCTGTAGCCAAGGTGGGCAAGCTCATCTTTCCTCATGTTCCCACACAACCAGCTGGGAATTGAGCACTGGTGAGTCCTTCTTGTTAGTCCTTCCTCTTTAAAAACATTAAAGTTCTTACATGCATAACCTGAAACAAAAACCACATGTAAACCTCGATAAGGACTCCTTTCCAGTGCTCTGAAACTGTCTCTCTTTTCTTACTTCCAGTGTTCTTTCACTCCAAGTCCAGGATCAAGCATGCAATATCAAGAATGAAAAGGCCAAAATAAACACATACTGAATGAATTAAATGAACATTAATGAACAGAATGAGGAGTTACGATGAGAATGACGACCTGGACAAACTACACCCCATGTAACGTGGGCAGCTCTGAAAACTTGCTGGGTTTCAGGATGCTAGTGGGGGGAGTGCAGGCACCACAAAAAGCAAGCACATACAGGCTAAAAGGTGAAAGCCATGGGCTGGTGCAGGTCAAAAGACAGCAGCGTGCTGCCTCTGACTGTACACTAATATTTGCGAGAGAAAGAAAGTACAACTGGAATGCAAGATCCAAATCAACTCTAATACATACGGTAAGTTCTATGTGTTGTTATGAAATGTAAATTATCAGTAAAAAGTGCCAAGGCAGTGGACCATAAGAACACTAAAAATCTTAGTAATAGCCATTTTAATACTCAAAATTTGCATGAGATTCCTGGGATTAGGATATTTGGTTGTAAATCTACAGTTGACTCTACCTTTCATCATTTTTAAACTAATATGATAAAGAGGCTGAGATTTTAGAACTTTTAGTTACTGAAATTAACCTGAAAACTCATAAACTAGGTATACACCACAAACACACAGAATACTAAGTGTAAGGAAATGTCACAAAATCTGATTTTTCTATTGTCACTTTGATATTTCTCTTGGAAAATCAATTTTCTAAAAAATAAATGTTCCTAATATTCATTTTCAGTACCATTAGAAATAAACAAGTTTGCACACAAATGCTATACTAAATATTATCTTATAGAAGCCCTGACACTATTATGAAAATTTTAACACAGTACTATATTCTAAAATAAGGTCAGTATTGCTTTATGAATTTTATTTTGTTCACTGGACATAACATTTATAAGATCAGGTCTTTAAATGCATATGTATATTTTCATAACTAATCCCATATTTAATTTTACTTCCAAAAATTCCCATCATTTTAATCATTTGATAAAGCTGTTGCATCTTCCTCTAATTCTAACTATGAGGAACACTGGGGTCCAGAATTATCTTCTTGCTATAAAGAATTAGAAAGGTGAAACAACTGCTTTCAGATATGAGCAGTAATACAGGAATCTGATTCCCTCAGAAAGGAAAGCAAATGAGATAATCCTAAAATTGCCCCAGGTTATGTCTAGGGACAATTTTTAGACCATAGACTAGGGAGACAGACTGCATACAGAGGCTAGAAAACTTGCTGAGTCACAAACATACACATCAGAGTTCAGGGAGGCAAAAACTTCCTGGAATATGTGGGTCAGAGTAATGAAGAGGGGAAAACAGTTCTAGAAATCTGCATAAGGGTTTCCTGAGACTTTGGCTGGATCAAAATTTGCATCTCCAAGAAGTAAGACAGACAATTCTTCAAAGATACAGAGCTGATAATTCAGGTTTCACATTTAAATTGAAAAGTCCTCATTATATACACAGAAAACTGAGTAGAGACTCCCCAGTAGAGGAGGGATAAACTACCCTAGAATAGAAGCTGCTGCATACTTCCGCTCAGAGTTCTCAAAACAAGCCTTGAAAAGATTGACAACACACAGATAACATGACTTCCTGTCAGAACAAAGTGTAACAGTTCTTAAATAGCACCCAAAAAATCAAGTGCTCCACAATAAAAAATTTTGCAATATCTGACATCAAAAAACAATCTAAAATTTAAAAATATATATATTTTCTAGGCATATGATCCATAACAAAAAGAAAAATCAATCAACAGAAATAGAAATGACAGATGACAGAATTAATGGCTATTTTCAATGTGTTTAATATGCTCGAGGACTTAAAAGAAATCATAACAATGAGAAGAGAAAGGTAACATATACAAACATTAGACTAGGACTTCTACATGTAAAAGCACAGTATCTAAAATTGGGCCTGGGGTTTAGCTCCATGGTTTCGCTGCCTGCTGCACAAGCACAAAGACCCGAGTTTCAACCCTGGTACCACAAAAAAAAAATTAAAAAAAATAAAAATTCCACTGGACAGTCCCAGCACCTGGAAGGAGGCTCCCCTGCCACCATTCCATGCTCCCAGGGCAGAGAAGGTGAGCCAGTCCCAGAACCTGGAAACAGGCTCCCCCGCTGCCATTACATGCTATTAGGGCAGAGAAGGTGGGCCAATCCCAGCACCCGGAAGGAGGCTCCCTCACTGCCATTCCACTCTCCTAGGGCAGAGAAGTTGAGCAGCTTGGGTGCCAGAAGCACTACCCACCCCCCTGTGGAAATGAGAAGACACGTAAACAAGCCTCAAAAACAGACTTCCAGATCACCTACAGCAACCCCAAAGGGAAACGAGATGGAACAATCTGATACTCAACCACCTGGATTCTCTGAACTGGCAACAAAAGAGGATCTGGGAAAAATGAAATCAGAAATAAT